CGTAAGAGGGGCGCTCGGATGGCCTGTGCGATCGAGGTGTGCCTCGCCTTCTCTGGGTGACAATGGTGGGGCGACCGGAGGTGTTCATTGCGCCCCTCCGGGAGGGGGCGGGTGGGGGGTTGGTCTACACTGCTAAGGGGTGCTCAGAAGTGCATGAAATCTTGACAGACTTTTGAGTCCAGCGTGCAACTTGGGAGGCAAGATGAACATTTCTGATCCTGTAGCGAATAACGGTTCATTGCCATGAGAGATGCCAGCCAAGTTTCTGGGCGTGCCGGACAGGTGGAAAGGGTTTTGTGAGCAACAGTTTGTAGGTTTAATATCTGTAAGGTGTTTTGATGTCGTTTTTTAAAAAAGTACTTAGATTTGACTTTTTGTTTTTCTTTTTTTGAGTTGGGGCTTCACTGTCACCCAGGCTGGAGTGCAGTGGCACGCTCGTGGCCACTCCAGCGTCGACCTGCTGGGCTCTGGCGATCCTTCCGCCTCGGCCTTCCAAGTCGCCTGAACCACAGGCGCGCACTACCACGCCCGGCTAATTTTGTTATTTTAGAGACGAGATCTCGCCAAGTTGCCCAGGCTGATCTCAATCCTCTCGCCTCGGCCTCCCAAAGTGCTGGGATTACAGACTGAGCCACCGAGCCAGGCCTGATCTGACTTTTAAAACTACCTCTTATGATATATTTCTTCAAGGATATTTATTTTTCTCTACTGGCCTTAAATGAATACACTGTGCAATTTTAAATGATTCGGTCATTAAATCCTCATTTAAAAGAGTTAATAGAAATAGTTTACTCCCTCTCTCTCTCTCTTTTCTTTTTTGATACAGAGAGGTATTTTAGAGTTGTTGGTCTTATGACTTGAGTCCCAGCGCCATAGCTTAGCTGTGTGACCATGGGCGAGCCATTCAGTCTCTTACTCCCATTTCCCCAACTCTAAAATGAAAAAAAAAATTTTTTTTTTGAGTTGGAGTCTCACTCTGTGGCCCAGACTGGAGAGCAGTGGCCACTCCCGGCCACCTCAGCCTCGCCCTGCTGGGCTCCGGCGATCCTTCTGTCTCAGCCTTCCAAGTAGCTGGAACTACAGGCGCGCGCTACCACGCCTGGCTAGTTTTTTTATTTTATTGTAGAGTTGAGGTCTCGCCAAGTTGCCCAGGCAGGTCTCAAACCCGTGGGCTCAGGCAATTCACTCACCTCGGCCTCCCAATGCGCGGGATTACAGCCTGAGCCACCGAGCCCGGCTCTAAAATGAAATTTATAATAGTAGCTGCCTCACAGGGTTGTTCTGAAGATTAAATAAAACAATGAATGTAAAACAGTACAATCCCTGGTATGTAGTAAACACTTAATGAATGGTGACTTTTATTGCCAGTTATTTATAGGCCCATTGATTGTTAGAGTTAAAAAGCAGTAGAATGCAAGTGTCATTGGAAACAAAGCTGTACTCATGCATTGCACTGAATCCCACTTTAAAAAGTTTCTTGCGTAAATAACCGTACACAGCAGAGAGATACTAGAATTATGAACCCCCACAAGACCCTACTTCCTTAACTGTCAAAGTTCAGCCCTTCTTGTCTCATTTCTTCACCTGGCACTTGTTTTTTATTTGTTTTAGCTGAAATATTTTCAAGCAAATCCCAGATACGTCACTTTATCTGTAAATATCTCAGTATATATCCCTTTAACAGATAAGGCCTTTAAAAAAAAAATGACCAAATCATTATTATACCTGAGAAAACTGATGGTAGTTTTCTAATATCTGAAATCCAGTACTAATATCTGTTTAGTTTTTGCTGATTATTTTCTTTTAAAGTCTACTCACATTTTTGAAAAGCTTAATAAAAGTACTTTTTTTTTTTTTTTTTTT